CGTCTCTTCTGGCTAGCTGCTGCGGTGTTGGCTAGCTGCTGCTGCGGTGTTGGCTAGCTGCTGCTGCAGCGGCTAGCTGCTGCTGCAGCGACTAGCTGCTGCTGCTGCTGCTGCTGCTGCTGCTGGAACAAAAGGAGAAATAAATTTGAGAGAACAGAGTGGGGGCTGGCGCCGGGGTGTCTGTACACTGCGTGTGGGGGTGCGGGGGGCCTCTTTTTGGAGTTCTTTTTGCAGAATAAGTTTGTTAAAAATTGAAAAGAATAAAAAGGATAAATTGGACTTAAATAGAGGGGTTTTAGGGGGAAAGCAGCAGCAGCAGCAGCAGCAGCAGCAGCAGCAGCAGCTCGGGAGCCGCGGGAAGGCCCCAGCCCCGGGGCCCCCCTTTCGAGGGCGGCCTCTGCAGCCGCTGCAGCCGCTCTTTTGCGTCTTTTGAGTTTCAAATGGATTTAATTTCGTAAAAAGGAAAGTTTGGAAGCATTAGAGGGTTTTTTGGCGTAGGTTTGCGGCCGGGGCGTCTCGGGGAGCAGCAGCAGCAGCAGCAGCAGCAGCAGCAGCTCGTTTGGGGGCGTGCCTTGCAGCCCCGGGCTCTGGCTGCAGCGTTTTGACGCAATTAAAGCGACAAAAAGGAATTTAAATCTTTTAATTCTTTTCTTTTCTTCTTTTCTGCATTTTTAAGTCCAAACGAACCAAAATGCCCAGCAAGAACGCCCGCCTGCAGCAGTGGCTCAACTACCGCGTCCGCATTGTCCTCCAGGTTGGTTTTTCTTCTTTTTGCGTCCTTTTTTCTAATTTTTAATTTTTAATTTATTTTTTATTTGTTGTTTATTAATTGTTCTTTCTTGCGCTTCTTGTTTGTCCTTTTTTCCGCGCGTTTGCCGCCGCTCTCGCGTCTTTTTCCCTTTTTTCCGCACATCCTGCCAGTTCATTTCTCGTTTTTTCGCGCGTTTGTCTTCATTTCTCGCCTTTAATTCATTTATTTGTTTATTTATTCTTTTATTTATTTATTTGTCCTTTAAAAGCCGGTCTTTAGAGTCCTTAAATCTGTCTTTGGCGCAAAATGCAAAAAATGGACTTTTCCGCACTAGTGGGGGATTTCGCACAAGTGCAAAAAGTGGACTTTAGAAAATTAAATCAATTCCAAATCAACACTCAATTTGCTTCCCCTTTCGCCTGCAAATCCAAACACAACCGCAGCAGCAGCAGCAGCAGCAGCAGCAGCAGCAGCAGCAAACTAACCGCAGCAGCAAATTCACCGCAGCAGCAGCAGCAACCCCCCCCCCCCAACCCCCACCAGCACCATCACCACCACCACTACCACCAGCATAATAATAACAATAATAACAATAATAATAATAATAGCAGCAGCAGCAGCAGCAGCAGCAGCAGCAGCAGCAGTGTGTTTGCTGCAGGACTCTCGGATGTTGGTGGGGACTTTTCACCACCAGCATAATAATAACACTAATAACAATAATAATAACAATAATAACAATAATAATAATAACAATAACAATAGCAGCAGCAGCAGCAGCAGCAGCAGCAGCAGCAGCAGCAGCAGCAGCAGCAGCAGCAGCAGCAGGGTGTTTGCTGCAGGACTCTCGGATGTTGGTGGGGACTTTTCTGGCTTTCGACCGGCACATGAATTTGGTGTTGGCGGACGCGGAGGAATTTCGAAAAGTCAAAATCAAAAAGTCGGAAGCAAAAAGGACTTTCGTCGAGGAAAAGGAACTCAAAAGGACCCTAGGCTTTCTCCTCCTCAGAGGCCAGCTGCTGCTGCTGCTGCTGCTGCTGCTGCTGCTGCTGATTATGCTGCTGGTTGTGCTGCTGCTGGTTGTGCTGCTGCTGCTGCTGCTGGTTGTGCTGCTGCTGCTGCTGCTGGTTGTGCTGCTGCTGCTGCTGGTTGTGGTGATGGTGGTGGTGTGGTGGTGCTGCTGCTGATTATGCTGCTGCTGCTGCTGGTTGTGCTGCTGCTGGTTATGCTGCTGCTGCTGCTGCTGCTGCTGCTGGTTGTGCTGCTGCTGCTGGTTGTGGTGATGGTGCTGGTTGTGGTGATGGTGGTGGTGCTGCTGCTGATTGTGCTGCTGCTGCTGGTGTGATGGTGCTGCTGCTGATTATGCTGCTGCTGCTGCTGGTTGTGCTGCTGCTGCTGCTGATTATGCTGCTGCTGCTGCTGCTGCTGCTGCTGCTGATTATGGTGATGGTGCTGATTGTGGTGCTGCTGATGATGGTGGTGGTGCTGCTGATGCTGCTGCTGCTGGTTATGCTGCTGCTGCTGCTGCTGCTGATGATGCTGCTGCTGCTGTTGATGATGAGCTCTTGCAGCTGCCGCTGGGCTTTACCTGCTGCTGCTGCTGCAGCGGGTTTAGGGTTTAGGGTTTAGGGTTTAGGGTTTAGGGTTTGTGCTGCAGGAGAGAACATTTGCACTTTCATTGCAGAGGCCCCCCCGCAGCAGCAGCCCAAGAGGCCCGAGGGGGCCCTCGCGGGCCCCGGCCGGGGGGCCCCCGCAGGCCGCGGGGTGGGCCCCGTGGGGGGCCCCCTGGGGGCCCCCCTGGGGGCCCCCCTGGGGGCCCCCCCAGTGGGTTTGGCGGGGCCCGTGAGGGGCGTGGGGGCCCCCGCCCCACACCAGATGATGGGGGGGCCCCCCATGGGCCGCGGGGGGCCCCCCATGGGGCCCCCCGGCATGCAGCCCCCCATGGGGAGTATGCCCCCCATGATGAGGCCCCCGGGGTCCATGATGTGAGGACCAGTGGTCACTGCTGCTGCTGCTGCTGCTGCTGCTGCTGCTGCTGCAGCAGCAGCAGCAGCAGAGCTAGAGGGAAACTGAGAGGGACTGGGGAGGGACCTTTTGATCCAAAAAGACAAAAAACAAAACGGCAGCGAACGGAGACTACAAGGTCCACTGGTCACCGCAGAAACGCATGCAAACTGCAGCAGCAGCAGCAGCAGCAGCAGCAGCAGCAGCAGCAGCAGCAGCAGGGAGAGGGGGGCAGCAGCAGGGGGCCCCCCGCAGGGCAGGGGGCCCCGGGGGCCGCTTTGTTTGTTTTGCTGCTGCTGCTGAAACCCTTGAGTTCTATTTATTTATTTATTGTTTCCTTCTTGCTGCTGCCAGCTCAGGTGTACGTACACCTCAGCTGCGGGGCTGCTGCTGCCAGCTCAGGTGTACGTACACCTCAACTGCGGGGCCTTTCTCGTGCTGCACTGTCGCGGAACAAAAAATCCTTAATGCTTAAGTAGGAGGGTTTAGGGTTTGCAAACCCTCGTTTAGGGTTTGCAAACCCTCGTTTAGGGTTTGCAAACCCTCGCTCGGGGTTTGCAAACCCTCGCCAGCTAGTTAGGGTTTGGGGTTTGTAAACCCTGGTCGTCTAGTTAGGGTTTGTAAACTCTCGCCAACTAGCTAGGGTTTAGGGTTTGTAAACCCTAGCCGTTTAGTTAGGGTTTAGGGTTTGTAAACCCTCGATCTTCCTTTGAAGTTGGGGATTTATTAACGCTCCTGCATTAGGGTTTAGGGTTTGCAAACCCTAGGGTCTAGGGTGTCCAAACCCTCACGTATCGATAAACCCTCATCCATTTAAACTCCTAAACCCTAATCTAGTCAGGGTTTAGAATCTATAAACCCTAATATGACTAGGGTTTAGGGTTTGTGAAACCTCCCTTACTAGGGTTTACACATAGATTCCTATCATTCCTATCAAGTTAGGGTTTAGCCTCACAAACCCTTATCTAGTTAGGGTTTAGGGTTTAGGGTGTGTGTGCAAACCCTAGCCCCGCTAGGGTTTAGGGTTTGCAAACCCTCGCCGTCTAAATGTGCTTGAGGGTTTGCGAGTCTCATGTCTCGCTGGCCTGCTAACTAGGGTTTAGGGTTTAGGGTTTAGAGCCTCCAAAAGTACTTTTGAATTCGAGTTTGTTTTCGGCATTTGTTTTCTTCGTCTCAAAAGAGGCCCCAGTGGGGTGTACGTACACCTCGTCAGAACAAAGTACTATTTGCCTCCTTGCACATATGCAGAATATTATAAATAAGTTACACATATAATATATTAAATGAATACATTTAAATAAATAAATATGTATATTATATATGTAAAATAAATATAATAAAATGAACTTTCCGTAAATCGAAAATGTACAAAATATACACCAGGTGTATATACAGTGTACGTACACCGCAGCTCTCTAACCTGTTCTGCGCGCGGGTCTTCTTTGCAGTTTGCACTTAACAATTAATTAACGATTAAATAAATGCCAATTAATTGAACAATAATAATAAATTAATTAATTGTTAATTAATCATTAATTAATTAGTTGGACTGCCGCGGCAAACATGCGCAAACCAGGAGTCCCGGGAACTCCCTCGAAAGAGTTTGGAAATAAATTCAAGAAGCGCCAAAAGCCGAAATAAACATTTAATTAAATTAATTTGTTTTAAATTAATTAAATTAATTCGTTTTAACTTAATTCTGCATGCACTTTAGTTCAATTTCGAAGTGTCTTTTCGAAGCTCCGGTGCATGCGCATGCAGTTGGCTGCCCTTTCTGCGGTGTACGTACACCGCAGGCGTTGCGTGCACTTCGCGCGGGGTGTACATACACTCCAAAATGGAAAGCAAATCGCGTTTGTGCAAGTGAGACTTCGAACTCTATTTGTCCCGGGTTGGAAATGCATATATTAGAAGAAATATAAAACAAATGTACATAACGAATATATACATTTAAGGAGCTTTTCCCCACATAAACATCTCCAGCGCATGCAAACGCATGCAAACGCATGCAGCGCATGCAGCGCATGCAAACGCATGCAAACGCATGCAGCGCATGCAAACGCATGCAAACGCATGCAGCGCATGCAGCGCATGCAGCGCATGCAGCGCATGCAGCGCATGCAGTGCATGCAGCGCATGCAGTGCTTTGGGGCTGTTTGCATGCATCTGCATGCGCGGAAAAGCGCCAAAGTCCCGGGAAAAGCCGTTTCGGGATTTGAATTATTTTTCAAGACTAAAAAGAACTACTGCACATACTGCAGCACTCCGAAGGTCCCCAGCCGCTGCACCAACACACTTTCAATCCCTCCAACTAAATAAAACTCTCCATCAACTTGAATTGGCATTTCTTTTTCTTCTTCATTTTTAAAAGTCACAAAAAATGGACCTTCGCCCTGCAGCAGCCGCTGCGCCGCGTTCGCCCCCACCTGTACGTACACCCCAGCGCCTTGCATGCATGCGCTCGCAAACTTCCCCAAATTTTATTTTATTTTATTTTTTATTTTTCTCTTTAATGCAATTAAATGCAGCATTTAAAAGGGCCCACGGAGTGAAACAAATGACAAAAAAATAGACAAAAAGATTAATTAAAAAAACGAAAAAACAAAAAGACACAAATACACTCAGCTGCAGCCAACACAACAACAAGCCCAAGCTTGCAGCAGCAGCAGCAGCAGCAAAAGCAGCAGCAGCAGCAGCAGCAGCAGCAGTTTTTTCGGTATGCCTTGCGGGGCCAAAACTCTTAATTTGTTTGCTGCGAGACACTTTTGCAATAAAAAGCTTAAAATGGAAAAGACACAAAAAAGAGTACAAGAAGAATTCAAAAGATCCAAAAAAGCAAAAAAATGCAAAATAAAGTGCAAAAAGAATGCAAAAAGAATGCAAAAAGAACAGAAAAGAATGCAAAAAGAATGGAGAAGAACAAGAAAAAAAGAAAGAACAAAAAAGAAAAAAGAAAACAAGAAAAAGAATTTAAAAACTCACAGTTTGGGCCTGCACATAGTCCACAGTGGACCCCATGGAGAAAACTTCCACCTTTCCATCTCCAGGATCTTGGCGAGCTGCCAGCAGCTCCTTTAAGTACAAAGAATAGTTTGCTGCTGCTGCTGCTGCTGCTGCTGCTGCTGCTGCTGCTGCTGCTGGCTTTCCGGGCGACCCCTCCGCAGCCACCGCCCCCACGGCTGTTCCTTCGCCCTCAGGGGGGCCCCCAGGGGCCCCCTTGGGGGCCCCCGCAGCAAGGGCCTCTGGGGCCCCCTCGGGAGCTTCCTGGGGGGCCCCCTGGGCCCCCGTGGGGGCCCCCTGGGGGGCCCCCTCGGGGGCCCCCAGCAGCCCCGAAAGAATCGCAGGGGGCTGGAGACCCACCTTCATGGAGGGGCCCCACATTTTGATTCCCCCGAACATTGTGCGGGAGTTCATGAAGGTGATGGAGACGCAGGCTGCATGCAAAAAAAAGTTTAAAAGAGCTCTTTTGCATGCAATTAAAGACAAAAGAGGGGAAGAAAGAATTAGGAAATAAAAAGACAAACAAAATGAACTTTTTTGCGGAAAAAAGAGATACTTATTCCCCAAAAAACCAAAAAAACACTTTTGCTGCTGCACTCCCAGCAGCAGCAGCAGCAGCAAGAAACCCCACACACCCAGCAGCAGCAAACCAACCAAACAAACAATAAATAATTAAATAAACAAATAAATAATAATAATAACAAATAATAAATAATAAATAAATAATAAAGAATAAAGAATAAATGGCGCACCGCAGGCACCAAACAACCAACCAAACAATAAATAAATAAATAAATAAATTAATAAAAACAATAATAAATAACAAACAATAAATAAATAATAAATAAAGAACAAAGAATAAAGAACAAACGGCGCGGGCAGCGGAAGTGTCTGTACAGCTGAGGTGTCTGTGCAGCTGAGGTGTATGTACACCGCAGGCTCACGCTTGAGCGAGGGAACTCGGGTGTATCTGCTGCTGTTGCTGAGAAGAGCCACAAAATGAGGTTTAAAAGAATAAATAGTTTCAATTCTGGAACATAAAAAGGGTTTAGTTTTCAAATGGCGCAAAAACAAAAAGAAATAAACCCCCCGGTTCCACAAACGCGAAGAACCCCGCACGCGGTCGAAGTCCGTTCCCACTGTGCCCTCGAACCTGCACACAAACCCTAAACCCTAAACCCTAAACCCTAAACCCTAAACCCTAAACCCTAAACCCTAAACCCTCAGCCCGAGGCCCTCCCCGCCAACAAACCCTAAACCCCAAACCCGAGCCCCTCCTCCCCAAACCCCAAACCCCAAACCCCAAACCCTAAACCCTAAACCCTAAACCCCAAACCCCAAACCCTAAACCCTAAACCCTAAACCCTAAACCCTGGGGACCTGCGTTGGACTTCCTCGATGGCTTCCTCGATCTCCTGCTGCCCCGGGAGAAACACCAAAATGTCGCCCGGGGGCTGCGAGAAGTGCAGCTGCAGCACAGTGACAACAGCAGCAGCAACAAAGTTTGCTTCCGGACTTTTGGTGTAGTAAATCTGCACAGGATGAAGTCTTCCTGGAATTCTCAGAATGGGAGCTCCGTCGAAGTAACTCGCGAATCTCTCCGCCTCCAGAGTCGCTGATGATATCACCAATCGGAAGTCCTCCCGGTACCTGCAGCAGCAGCAGCAGCAGCAGCAGCAGCAGCAGCAGCAGCAGCAGCGGGGCTGCAGCAGCGGACGGGGAAGCTGCAGCAGCACGCGCACTGCTTCCCCCAGCAGCAGCAGCAGCAGCAGCAGCAGCAGCGGCAGCTGCACTGCCCCGCTCCCTCCCCAGCCCCAGCAGCAGCAGCAGCAGCAGCAGCAGCAGCAGCAGCAGCAGCAGCAGCCGGTGCACTGCCTCTCTCCCTCCCCAGCACCATCATCATCATCATCATCATCATCATCATCATCATCATCATCATCATCACCATCATCATCATAATCACCATCATAATCAGCAGCAGCAGCAGCAGCAGCAGCAGCAGCAGCAGCAGCAGCAGCAGCAGCACCTAGAGAGGTCCTTGAGCAGCGCGAGCAGCACGTCAGTGTGCAGCGTGCGTTCGTGGGCCTCGTCGACGACAACAGCAGCATATTGCTGCAGCAGCGGATCGCCAATGAACTCCCGCAGCAGCATGCCATCTGTCAAGTACTTCAGCAGCGTCTTCGCGCTGCTGCAGTCTTCAAAACGAATCGTGTAACCCACCTGCAGCAGCAGCAGCAGCAGCAGCAGCAGCAGCAGCAGCAGCAGCAGCAGCAGCAGAGGGGAGGAGGAGGCAGTGGGAGGTGCGCGGTACCTCTGCGCAGTCTAGCTAGCTGTCTAGCTGTCCAGCTAGCTGTCTAGCTAGCTAGCTGTCTAGCTAGCCATCTAGCTAGCTAGCTGTCCAACTAGCTGTCTAGCTAGCTGTCCAGCTAGCTAGCTGCCTACCTGGCTGTCCAGCTAGCTGTTTAGCTAGCTAGCTGTCTAGCTAGCTGCCTAGCTAGCTAGCTGTCTAGCTAGCTGTCTAGCTAGCTAGCTAGCTAGCTATCTCTTGACCCACCCCTCGCCTCTGCCCCTAGACTCTCCCCACACTCTGCTGCTGTCCAAGCAGCAGCAGCACCAGCAGCAGCAGCCGCAGCAGCAGCAGCAAGTCGGTGCATGCCCTCTAGCTACCTCCCTAGCTAGCTAGCTAGTTAGCTAGTTAGCTAGTTAGCTAGCTAGCTATCTAGCTACATATCTACCTATCTACCGCCCCAGCGAGCTAGCCACCTCTCCAGCTACCCCGCCAGCTAGCCAGCTGGCTAGCTAGCTAGCTAGCCAACCCCGGGTCGCCCCGGCGAGCTAGCTAGCTGGTTTTTTTCGCACCTCCGCCCCCAGTCTCTCCCCACACTCTGCTGCCACTCTAGCAGCAACTGCCATTGCAGCAAGCCTTCTAGGCTGCGTGCATGCAACCATTCCTGCTTTGGAATATCCCACTTCCCGCAGAAACTGCGGCAGCTGCGTCGTTTTGCCGGAGCCGGTGGCGCCCACGACCACCAGCACGCGGTGCTGCGCCACGGCCCGCAGGAAGGCCTCGCGGTAGCTGTACACCGGCAGCAGCCGCCGCTGCTCCTGCAGCAGCAGCAGCAGCAGCAGCAGCAGCAGCAGCAGCAGCAGCGGCAGCAGCAGCAGCTAAGGCGCAGGCGGCAGGTGCTCGCGCGCGAGAAAATAGCACCAAAAACCACCACCAGGGGACAAATATTCACCAAATGACGCACTGCAGCAGCAGCAGCAGCAGCAGCAGCAGCAGCAAGGCAGCAGCAGCAGCAGCAGCAGCAGCAAGGCAGCAGCAGCGCAGCAGCAGCAGCGCAGCAGCAGTGCAGCAGCAGTGCAGCAGCAGCGGAGCAGCAGGGGCAGTGGGCGCGACGGACTTGGAGGGAGATGGCCTTGGTTTGTGCGGCCTCGCGCTGCTGCTGCTGCTGCTGCAGCAGTTGCTGCTGCTGCTGCTGCTGCGGGGAGAGATCTTTGTTGAAGTCTAGGCCGTGAGTTTCTCGAACTTCGAATTCGATTTCAACTCCAGTTTCGTCGACAAGTTTGTAGCTCTTTTGCTGCTGCTCGCTGCTGCTGCTGCTGCTGCTGCTGCTGCTGCTGCTGCTGCTGCTGCTGCTGCGGTCCCTGGCGCCGAAGCGGACGAGGGCGGCGCGGGTCTTTTGCTGCTCGAGGAGCTGCTGCTCGGAGAGCTGCTGCTGCTGCTGCTGCTGCTGCGTCTCGCGGAAAGTTTGCTGCAGCAGCAGCAGCCTGGCCTGGAGACTTTCTGCTGCTTCCGGCAGCAAATAAAGTTCTGTCTCGGAGTTATTTTTGCGGTCTTGAACTGCTGCTTTGGCGAGCAGCAGCGCGTCTTTGCGCAGCTGCAGCTGCTGCTGCTCCGCTGCACTCAGCTGCTGCTGCTGCTGCTGCTGCAGCTGCTGGTAAAAGGCCTCTCGGTCCCGCACTTTCCGCTCCTGCAGCAGCAGCTGCTGCTCTTCTCTTTGCTTCAGATAAGATCTTCTTGCTTCTTCCCGCAGCCGCAGCACGTAGGCTTTGCTGCAGCGCAGCAGCTCGTTGGGTTTCTTCTTGGCTTCCAGCAGCAGCTCTTCCACGCTCTCCAGCGCAGCAGCAGCAGCAGCAGCAGCAGCAGCAGGCTGCTGCTGCTGCTGCTGCTGCTGCTGCCGCTCCAGCGCTGCAGCGTGGCCCACCTTCCGCTGCGACGCCGCGTCCCGCGCCGCCAGCCGAGCAGCAAATGCTGCTGCTTCTGCTGCGTCATCCTCCTCTGCTGCTGCTGCTGCTGCTGCTGCTCCTGCTGCTGCTGCTGCTGCAGCAGCAGAGACACAGACAAACGCAGACACGCAGCAGACGCACTCAACGCACAGACGGAAATGCTACGCACGATGCTCTATTCAGGACTGCTGCTGCTGCTGCTGCTGCTGCTGCTGCTGGTGTTGCTGCTGCTGCTGCTGCTGCTGCTGCTGCTGGTGTTGCTGCTGCTGCTGCTGCTGCTCACGTTCTGTCTCATCTTCTCGTTGTCTCTTTCTGCTGCCGCTCTGCGGCTCGGCCGCCTCCTGCTGATCCTCATCATCTGCTGCTGCTGCTGCTGCAGCAGCAGCAGCAGCAGCAGCTTCTGCTGCTGCGATCCTCCGCAGCAGCTCCGGGGCCAGGGCCTCCGCGTCCTGCTGCTTGAAGTGCAGCTGCTGCTGCAGCAGCAGCGACAGCTGCTGCGAATTGGGGGCCCCTTCTGCTGCTGCAACAACAGCAGCAACAAGAGAGCGAGTAGCAGCACCAACTCGCCGCTGCAGCTCCTCCCGCAGCCACGGGGTCACTTCTGAGAACGACATTAGGGTTTAGGGTTTAGGGTTTAGGGTTTAGGGTTTAGGGTTTGGGGTTTGGGGTTTGGGATTGGGAGCCGGGACTTCCCGCGGCTGGGGGAGCCCGGCTGTGGGGCTTTGCCGCAGCGGTTAAGGCCAAAGTCTCGAGGGTTTAGGGTTTAGGGTTTAGGGTTTAGGGTTTAGGGTTTAGCCCTTGGCCCTGAAAACCCTGACTGGAGCGGGGGCTCCAGAAGCAGGCGAGCGGCGGCCTCGCCAAACCCTTAATTAGGGTTTGCGGGGGAGGCCGGCCTCAGTGACATTTATTTAATTCAAATAAATTTAATTTAATTATTTAATTTAATTTAATTTAATTTAATTTATTCTTGGGGGCCCTTTACCCCAAACTGCAAACAAAAGTCCAAACGCATGCAGGGGGCCCCTGGGGCCCCCGGGGGGCCCCCCGGGGGCCCCCTGGGGTTGAGGCTTGCAAACAACAGTTAAGGGGTGCAGCAGGGTTTAGGGTTTAGGGTTTAGGGTTTAGGGTTTGAGTGTTAGGGTTTAGAGCTTGGCTTTGGCTGCAGCTTTAGGGCTTCGCGCCCACGGGCTGGGCCTAGGGTTTAGGGTTTAGGGTTTAGGGTTTAGAACTCGGCGCTTTGCTTCGGCCTTCCTTTCTTCTACGGAGTTACTTCTTAGGGCTTAATCTTTAACCTCTAGGGTTTAGGGTTTAGGGTTTAGGGTTTAGGGTTTAGGGTATGGGGTTTAGGGTTTAGGGTTTAGGGTTTAGGGTTTAGGGTTTGGGGTTAGGCACTGCGGGACCCAAAACCTATCAACCAGCTGCCAGAAAATACAATAAACAACTAAATAACAAATAAATTAATAAATAAATAAATTAATAATAAATAAGTTAATAATAAATAGTAAAAATAAATAAATAAATAGACAATAAATAAATGGATAATAGACAAATAAATATATAAATAAATAAATGATAAATAAGTATGTAAATAAAGGAATAAATAAATAAATAAATAAATGCATAAATAAATAAATAAATAGATAAATAAACAAATACATAACAATAAATAAATAAATGGATAATAAACAAATAAATAAATAAATAAATGATAAATAAGTAAACAAACAAACAAACAAATAAATAAATAAATAAAAGAATAAATAAATAAATGCATTTTTCCAGCAACTCTCCGCTTTTTCGTTTTTGGATTCTTCTGGCAGTTCTTCAAATCTGAATAAAAATTATTTTGAAGTTTGATTTGATTTCTTTTTAATTTAGTTGCATTTTAATTTATTTCCATTTTAATTTAGTTCCATTTTAATTTAATTCCATTTTAATTCACTTCCATTTTAATTTAATTCCATTTTAATTTCATTTTAATTTAATTTTATTTTAATTCAATTCCATTTTAATATAGCTCCATTTTAATTTAATTCCATTTTAATCCAATTCCATTTTAATTTTGTTCCATTTTAATTCCATTTTAATTTAATTCCCTTTTAATTTAATTCCATTTTAATTTAATTCCATTTTAATTCCATTTTAATTTAATTGCATTTTAACTTATTTCCATTTTAATTTAATTCCATTTTAATTTATCTTTATTTTAATCTAATTCCATTTTAATTTATTTTCATTTTAATTTATTTCAAAATTAATTTTTATTTTTTTAATTTCCTGAAAAGCAAACTGGAGGTCTGAGGTGTACGTACACCGCGTGCATGCGCAGCCACCCGAAAAGGGCTTCTCAAAAAAGTGGAAAAAGCAAAAAATTAAAATAAAAAAAACGCATGCAGCCCCAAAACATTGCTGCATGCATGCGGGGAAAGAAGGGAAACAAATTAAAGAAAATTGGCCGATTTTAAAGGACCTTTTGGGTCCAAGTTGCTGCTGCTTTCGTAGCCTTTTGCTGCACTGCAGCAGCAACTGCAGCACACAGCTACCCGGTGCACTGCTGCAGCTAGCTGCAACGGCAGTAGCAGCAGCAGCGGCTGCAGCAGCTGCAGCAGCAGCAGCAGCTGCTGCTGCTGCTACTGCTGCAGCTGCAGCAGCTGCAGCAGCCTCCGCTAGTCGGTAGCTAGCTGATGCTGCAGTCCCACCTGACTGTGGTTAGCTGCAGCAGCAGCAGCAGCAGAAGCAGCAGCAGCAGCAGCAGCAGCAGCAGCAGCAGCAGCTAGCCACAGAGACTGCGCGTGGCTGGAGGATAGCAGCAGCAGCACTTTGCTCCTGCAGCAAACTCAGGGCCTTCTTCCAAACACTAACAAATTTCATGTTCTGAATCCTAAACCCTTAACTCCAAACCCTAAACCCTAAACCCTAAACCCTCGCGTTGCTGCAGGGGTTTTCTTGTCGATTAGGGTTTACACTAGGGTTTCCAGCAGCTGCAGAGACACAAGACAAAACACCTCCGCGCCTTCACGGGAGCAGCAGCAGGAGTAGCAGCAGCAGCAGCAACAGAAGCAGCAGCAGCAGCACGAGCAGTAGAAGCAGCAGCAGCAGCACGGTCAGTAGAAGCAGCAGCAGCAGCAGCACGAGCAGTAGAAGCAGCAGCAGCAGCACGAGCACCAGCAGCAGCAGCACGAGCAGCAGTAGCAGCACCAGCAGCAGCAGGAGCAGCAGTAGCAGCACCAGCAGCAGCAAGAGCAGCAGCAGCAGCAGCAGCAGCAGCAGCAAGAGCAACAGAAGAGGGAGCAGCAGCAGAAGCAGCACGAGCAGCAGCGGCAGCAGCAGCAGCAGCAGTAGCAGCAGCAGCTGAAAGGCTCCCTTTGGAGAAGCATTTGGCCCTTGAGGGCGCTGTTTGCATGCGGCTTTTATGAAAACCGAAAAGACATTTTAATGAAAGTTAATTTAAAAAATAAAAAGTTTTGAAATGGATTTTAAAGAATTAAAAAATGAATCAAAAGAAGTTTTTGGATTTATATTTATTCAAAAAGAAGGGCCAAATCAGACAGCAGCAGCTTCTTCTTGCTGCTGCTGCTGCTGCTGCGCTCAAGAATGGCGACAGCTAGTTGCTGCAGCTAGCCAGCTAGCCACAGCTACCCAGCTAGCCACAGCTACCCAGCTAGCCACAGCTTCCCAGCTAGCCACAGCTACCCAGCTAGCCACAGCTACCCAGCTAGCCACCGCTAGCCAGCTAGCTGCAGCTTGGCAGCCGCTGCGGCCAGCTAGCCTCCTGGCCAGCTAGCTAGCCAGCTAGCTATCCACAGCGAGGTGGCTTGGCGGCTGGCTAGCTATAGCTAGCCACAGCTAGCTGGGGAGGCTCTGGGGCTTCCGCGTCTGCTTCTAAGAGCAAATAAAATAAATAAATAAATAAATAAAAAGAATTTATATTTAATTGGAATTATTAATGGCCCGAAAAAGAGCAAAAGACGCAGCAGCAGGGAGGCCGGGGCTGCATGCGGGGGGCGCTGGGGGGCCCCCCGAGGCCCCCAGAGAGTCGGCTGCGGAGTGGAAGAGTTTGGGAATTTGTTTTTGCAAAAAGTTCTTCAAAATGGAATAAATGAAAAGGAGTTTTGTTGGGGTTTCGAGAAAGTGCGAGAAGAGCTGTAGGTACACCCGAGCACCACCGCCAGCACCATGGAGGCGCTGCGCCGGCTGGGCAGAGTTCCTTGGTGAGTGTCTGCCGTTTAAATGCCATTATTTTCATTTTAAATGAATTAATTAATTAAATTGGACCCAAAAAGTCTTTTATTTTTCGCTTTCACCGGCGGTTTCCGCGGCTGCGCCGAAACCCGCGCTCCGGGGTGTATGTACACCTCAAAAACGCCACTTCTGCTGCAGCAGCACTGCAGCAGCACTGCAGCAGCACTGCAGCAGCAAGCAGCGCGCAAAAAGGGTTTAAAGGAGAAATATAAGAATAAAAAAGACAATTAGAGCAGCGGGGAGGGTAAAAAGGAGGTTTGGTGGAGTTTAATTCGCTGATTTAGGGTTTTGCATGCAGGCTGCGGCGCATTGCGGTGGCGCTGGGCATTGTGGGGCCCGTGCTGCTGCTGCTGTACTTCCCCCCCGTTGCTGCTGCAACAATTTTGGGGATTTGTTTGCTGGCAGCAAACGAGCACTGCAGGCTGAAGGCCCTCGCGCTGCAGCGGCTGCTGCAGCACACTGCAGCAGCAGCAGCAGCAGAAGCAGCAGCAGCAGCAGCAGACACAAACTCGAAAGAAAATGAAATTCAAAAACCCCTTTTGGCCTCTCGCCTTTCTTCCCCCAAGGTCTGCGGTGTACATACACCCCAGCAGCTGCGCCCGGCTCAAATCCTTTTTTCTTTTTAAATCATTTTTATCTTTTTTTAGATCATTTTTTGTCTTTTTTGGATCTTTTTGGATCTTTTTAATTCTTTTTTGAATCTTTTTTGAATCTTTTTGACTCATTTTATTTCTTTTTGTCTCCTTTCGTCCATTTTGTCTCTTTTTATTTCTTTTCGTCTCTTTTTTGACTTTTTATTTTTTTTTGTTTCATTTTGGACTCTTTTAATATCCTTCTTGTCTCATTTTAGCTCTTTTTGCTTCCTTTTTTAATATCTTTTAATATCTTTTTATTTATTTTACTTTTTAAATTTCCTTTTATTTTTTTATTTTTTGTTTTTAATCTTTTCTTTTTTCACTTTCCACCCCAAATTGCTATTTCCCTTTTTACGAATAATTATTTAATTTAATTTAATTTAATTTAATTTAATTAATTAAATAATATAAGTAAATAAATATAATCAAATTAATTGAATCAAACTAATCAGTTCAAATTCATTAAATTTAATCAATCAAATAAATTAATTCAAATTAATTGATTTAAGTCCAATTAATTCATTGAGGTCTTTAATTAATAAAATTAAATATTTAATTATTTAATTAAATTATTTAATTGTTTAATTACAACTAATTAGTTAATTAGGTTAAATCAAACCAATTGGATTAAATGAATCAAATTATACTAAATTGAATTAAACTAAATTAAATTAAAATAAACCAAATTAAACTAAATGATTATTTGTTTATTTAATTAAATTATTATTCAATTAAATTAAATTAATTAAATTATTATTTAATTAAATTAAATTAATTAAATTATTATTTAATTAAATTAAATTAATTAAATTAATTATTTTTATTTATTTCAATTTGCTGCTGTGCTGCAGCCTTTGATGTGCTGCTGCTTCTTTCTTTTTCTGGCCAGTTTCTTCGACCCGAGCAAAACCCCCGGTTTTTGTTTTTTGTCTGCTGCTGCAGTGAGTGCAAACCCTAAACCCTAAACCCTAAACCCTAGGCTCCAAACCCTAAACCCTAAACCCTAAACCCTAAACCCTGCGCCGCGCGCTCAGGGGGTTTCTTTTGGCGTGGCGGCGAATTCAGTTTTGCTTTACGGCTGGAGCCGAGACATCCCCGAGTGAGCTAAACCCTAAACCCTAAACCCTAGGCGCTGCGGCCCGAGCCCGCGCACCCCGCCCGAGGGTTTAGGGTTTAGGGTTTAGGGTTTAGGGTTTGCGCACAGGTCGCGGGACGCGCTCCTCTACGCCTGGGCCTCCGCAGGCCTCGACTTATATTTCTTGTGGCACTATGCAGTGCCTCTGGCCATGGGCAGCTTCGTGCTGCAGCGCAAGTAGGGTTTAGGGTTTAGGGTTTAGGGTTTAGGGTTTAGGGTTTAGGGTTTGAGGGGCTCGCGGGCTGGGGGCCCTCGGGGGTTTTCGTTGGCTGTTTCTGCGGATGTGCAGTTGCCGTTCTGGTGGGCTGCTTGTGGCCTCCGGGACTCAGGGTTTATGGTTTAGGGTTTAGGGTTTAGGGTTTAGGGTTTAGGGTTTGTGGCGCAGCGGGGGTTTGCCTCTTGCTGCTTCTCTAATCGCCATTTCTGCTGCTGGAGATAGCGGGGCTCTTTTCTGCGGCTCTGCGTTTGGGAAAAGAAAAATAATTGAAAAACTTTCTCCCAACAAAACGGTGGCCGGTGAGGGTTTAGGGTTTAGGGTTTAGGGTTTAGGGTTTAGGGTTTAGGGTTTGCTCTGCTGCTCGCTTCGCCGCGTTTCTTTTTTTTTCCGCTAGCTCCCCCAACTCCCCCATTATAACTAATTAATTAATTTATTTTCATTTATTTATTTATTTATTTATTTATTTATTTATTTATTTATTTATTTTTTTGTTTTTATTTTCAGGAGTGCTGGGCTCTCTCTCCTGGAGCTGGCTCGCGGGCTGGCTGCTGTGGCTGCTGTCTTTAAAAGCCCCTTACCTCGGATTGAGGGTTTACTCAGAGCCCCTTATAGAAAAGAATGCTACTCTTGTGAGGGTTTAGGGTTTAGGGTTTAGGGTTTAGGGTTTAGGGTTTGTGGCCTGACGAGTGTGTCCTCGGATTGAGGGTTAACTCAGAGCCCCTTATAGAAAAGAGGAGTATCTTTTCTTTGCTACTCTTGTGAGGGTTTAGGGTTTAGGGTTTAGGGTTTAGGGCCTTTAGAGCGTGTGCCTGCATTGAGTGTTTTGAGTCTTCTGGAGTATCTCTTTCTCGTCACTCTTGTGAGGGTTTAGGGTTTAGGGTTTAGGGTTTAGGATCAGGTGTTAGGAGTTTAGCATTTGGGGTTTAGCGTTTAGGGATTGGCGTTTAGGGTTTAGGGTTTAGGGTTTAGGGTTTAGGGTTTGGAGTAGG